AAAAAAGTTGAGGTTAAACTAGTAAACCAAAAAAATATAAAATTTGCCTAAATAAAGTGAAAAATCAAATCTTTTATATCAAATTTAGGATCTTTAAAAATAAAAAAATAACATTTAACTCTCCACACTTGCATAACTCACATAAAAGAAAAAAGAAGAAAAAGAACAATAATATAATCAATAAAAGGTAAAAATAAGAAATTTACCTTCATTTTCTCATCATACACACATAATTATAGAAATAGTTCTCAAATTTATTATTTGTCTATGATATTCATACGATCACATTTACCCCACATACAAAAATCATATCCAAATCGTTTGCAATTTCATTATTTTGGTTGTAATACTTTATAAAATTCCAAATTGAATGTCAACGACTTTTTTGGGACAAAAATAGATATTAAAAACTTGATTTTGCACTTTAATTATATGAATTTTTATATATTTTAATTTACTATTTTTGCCTTGATTTTATTGATATTTCAATAAGTTGAACGTGATTTTATTGAAAATTATGTGATTTTTATTATTTATGTAAAAAAGAATTGAAATGCATGAAATTAGAAATTTTGAAACTTAAGTTAACTGTTTTGAATATTTTATGGATTAAATTGCAATAAGAAAAGTTGAAATCAGGGACCAAATTCAATAGTCTAAAGTTGAGGATTAAAGTGCATAGAAACTAAAAAAATAAGGGACCAACAAGGTAATTTTACTGTTAAAATTTCGAGAATTTTGAGAATTTTAACACCGGGTGGGTGGCGTTACGATCTCCGTCGAAAGAAAGGATGATCATTGGCTCTTTCTCCAAAGTTGAAGGATTAATACGAATTGTGGAGGGATAAAAATGGCTTCTTTTCTTAAATTAAAGGAATTTTTTTTTTTTTAAACATATTTTACAAGCGGTGGGTTTCGAACCCGCCCAGGAGAATTGCACCGGTTGGCTTTTGCCAGTAAACCTTATTAAAAGAATTTTAATAATATCAAACCCTTAAAAATAAAATAAAAACTAAATTTTTAAAGAGACTGTTGTCTTTCTTTTGTACTTTTTTATTTTAAAATTATTTTTCAAAAGGTGCATGGGCACCACGCCTGACAACACGTCAAGCAGTGTCCTATTTCTATTTCATGCTTAAATAATCTAATTTCTTAAAATTTCTTTTTTTTTTTTTTAATTCTTTAATTTAGATTTTTTTTATTTAAAATAAATTAAATAAAATAATATCAATATAAATTTTAAAAAATTTTATTTAAACAAATGAATTGAAGTAGTGATGTTTGGCTAAGTGTTTACTTAAATATTAAATATTTAAAATGTAAATTTATATAAAACATTATTAATTGTAATTGTGTGACACAAAGTGAGATTTTGCATTATTCTCATCTGATATTGTCGATGTGTTAAGTAGAAAGGCAAATAAATAATGGCATATGTCAATCTTCCATTGATAAAGCATATACATCAGCGAGTATTTGCAGGGTTTAGAGAAAAGGCAATTAAATGAGATCCTCAAGGCTGCTTCTCATCTTGTTTTCCACTTTTTTTCACACATACCTCGGCACTTTTAAGCTTTGCTGCTGATCCCTTTTTCCAGGCTCGTTGTCTTCCCAATGGCAACTTTGTTGATGGCAGTACTTAGCAGACCAACCTCAACTATCTCTTCTCCCGGATCTCGTCTGAGGTTATCACTCCTGCGTTCTATAGTCCGATAAATGGTGGGAGCCCCGACCAGGTGATCAGCATAACCGGATTCTGCAGGGGAGACCAACAGCAGGATGCTTGCCGTATTTGTCTCAACGACATCATCTCGAGCTTCAGCAGAACTGCACCAACTACAAAGAAGCAATTGGGTGGTCGGATTTCTATACGTTACACTACGCAAACCGATTAATCTCCAGAGTGGATCCCGAAGTCAACCCCTTTATAATACGACCTACTGGCACAACGAGTGATGATCAGTTCAATCAAGCGGTAAGTTCGCTGTTGTCTAGGTTAACAAGCCAAGTGGCAACCGGCACTGGAGGTTCTCTTCAAAATTATGCAGCGGGTGACAACGGTTCCGGAATTTACGCACTTGTGCAGTGCACTCTCTTTCTGTCCTCGGAAGAATGTAGCAGTTGTCTGGAGACAGCCATAGGGAAGATGCCTGGAACTACAGGCTGCAAAGGAATGACCCGATGCAGAGTTCTGCTACCAAGCTGTAACTTGAGATATGAGACTTACAGCTTCATTGGAACCGTACCGTCTCCGTCTTCAACTGCTCCTCCTTCTCCTTCACCGCAAGGAAAAGCAGAAGATGTTCCTCAGCCATCACCGTTTCCGTCTTCACCACCTCCACCTAAAGGTAAAGTAGGCTGGTGTTCTTGGCCTCCGCCATTACCTTTTGCAGTCTTCTTCTCCTAGCAATTTTGCTTATTTAACTTTAACAGTTGCATATTTGCATTCAATTTCATATTTATCAATTTACGTAAGAAATCCTTTTACTAAAAAAATCATAATTAAACTGTTGAAAATGAAATGCGTGGCTGATTAAGAGTATTTCTTTTCTAAGGATTTAACTGAAAAGTATGAAAAGTTTGAGGGCTAAACATCTATCCCCATTTTTTTGTTCTATAGTGCGACGTGGTGAGGGGGTGACGTGTAGAGGATTGAAATTAGTTAATGATAACAGGTTTGAAAATTTAAGGATACAAACGGGACAAAAAGAGACATTGTAGACGATTTCAATACTGCCTAGCTGGAAATTTTTCGGTTGAATGTAAATTTTGGTTTCCTCAAGTTTAAAATATTTTATCATTTTTATCTTTTTATGCTTTTATGCTTTTTTTTATCCCTTAATTATGAAAAATATATTTTTCAATCTTTTATTAATTAGTTTGTTAAATCTATTTATATATGTATATATTTAATCCCTCAATTTATATATAATATATATATGTACATTTTTTATCTTTCAATTTAAAAGTTCAAAAAATAAAAATGTATACATATAGATAAATTTAGTCAACTAACTGATGAAAGACAAAAAATTGAAGGGATAAAATTGATATTTAACCAAAATTTTTAAAAGGGACAAACCTAAATATTGACAAAAAAAGGTTTGTGTATCAATTAAAAAATCAATGAAAGAAATTCTTTTAGGACAAAAAATTATTTTAAATAAAATTTATTAATTTTTAACAATAAATTAACTATGCTGATGAAGTAGTAAAATGCTATCCATTGAAGAAAACAATAAACATATAAAGTAATAATATACTAAATAAAAAAATAAACAAAGTATATTAATGAATAAACATTTTATGAAAGAATGATACTAAACACTCGAATAGTTTTTCATTCAATAATCTTTGTTTTTCTCATTTTTCTTATCATCATCAAAAATAATCTTCAAGAGTTAAAAGACTAAAAATTGTTTAAAATGACATAAAATAAATAAAAAAATGAAATGAAAAAATAAAGCATAATGGACTAAACTAATAATTCCACAAAAGTTCCCCTTTTCTCTGCTATTGATACCGCCTCTATAGTTTGGAGACCAAAAAAGGCAATTTAGCCTGTTGAAAATTAAGCAAGATTGTTCTTGATCTATTTTATTAAATAGAAGTTTGGAATCATCTTTAAAATTTGCTGCAATATGACTTTGCCACTATATGAGCTGCTACTAATAAATTTTGTGACAAAAATATATATGCTTGGATAAGGTATATTTGGAGCTATTTATAAGGTGATGATAAATATTAAAATAAAAAATTTATAACATTTATTGTCATATGTACATACTGAATTTTAGTCATTGGACTCAGATGTTATAGTTATGAATTGATTTACAGGGCCAATATCTAAACAGAGAAGTTGTAAGCTTGCAGTTATAAAAAGGTTACTTGGTGGTTTAAGACAGGGAGATTCAAAGTTTAAGAACGAGGTCTTTTTAGTGACCAAACTTCAAGATCCCAATTTGGTCATAGCTTCGTGTTTTTTATTTTAACACGAGAGTGGGGCTCGAACCCACTCTTCAATCAATATGAGAATGTCCTTACAACGATATAAATGATTACTACATCATGAAAACTTATCACAATTTCTCGATTTTTATTTGGAATGAAATTAAATACTTTTTATTTTTTAATTTATTCCAAACAAGACCTTGATCATTTTATATTTGATATGTGAGATGTCACTTTTTTATTTTACTTAAGACAAATATTTTAAGTTGTGTATTAATAGAAAAAAAAAAGTATTTTAACTCACGTAAATTTTAAGTTTATGGAAATCTAGTTTTTAATTATTTTTTGTAATTTTTCAAATAATATATTTATTTATTAAAATAAATTAATTCACATAATTTTTAATTAAAATAAATTAATTTAAATTTAATGAATGATGTCATAAAATATCCTCTATTCTGTCAAATCCATTGCAGGCACTCCTGGGCTTGATGATTTAGCATCCATGGCCCCGTTTTTTATGATGTGGCAATAGCACATCCTACGTGGCATGGCTATTGATGATATGGACGAAATGGTGGGAACATAGCCATGGAAAAGTTGGCCGTGTAGCTTGTAGATTTTTCCTTTTCCCCTTTTCCTCATATTTTCTCTCCTACGGTCCTACCTCCCCGATCTCTGGAAATCCAAATTCCCTCATCAAAAAGTTGGGGTTCTCAGGACTGGAAGTCAGAATCAAGGAATCCAGATACCTTGCTTTTAAATCTAACTACAAAGTTAGAGACCGTCGATGAAGAGTAAAGCAAATCTGGGTATTGGATTTGATTGCTGAGACTTGGTTTTACCATGTAATTTGTAGAGTCCTGAGTATGTGAATGGGTGATCTTGGACCTTTTCTTTTCTTTTCCATGAATTTTGATTCGGTGATTGGTTGATTTTGTTTCAATTTTATTTCTTCTTGGATTTTGTTTATATTTCTTACAATTTCTCTTGGTTATATTTCTTTCTAAATTGAAACCTTGTCTCTTCTTGCCTCCCAAACGATGAAGATAAAACTTTATTCTTTGATTGTTCCCATAAAGATGATGATGATCAAGCAAGACGCACATTTGATTATGATCATGATGATGAAGCTTTTATTTATTTATTTATTTATTTTGTTTTTGTAAATTTTTTTTAAAAGAAAGAAAATAGACAAAAAAAAAAAAAGAATTGTTTTTCGGTTTCAGCAGTGGATTTGTTACAAATTTGTTGCAAATTTTGTCTCTTTGCTCTTTGTAAATTGGTGAAGTCAAAACCCCGTCGTCGTCCACAATGGCGAAACCCAGCACGAGTAAACTGTAAACCCATATCAAATTAATTTTGTTTGAGGTAAAGGATCTATGATCTGAATAGGTACTTGTTGTTTGTGCTTATAATTAATTTCAAAATAAATTTCATAGATAATGCACCTCTGATCTGGGCATAGGAGAGGAAGAGAGAGGCAAAGAGAGGGGAAAAAGAGGGTGGCAATGTAGTAATTTCATGTGAGGGTAAACCTGTAATTTAATATAACGATAAGGACAATTGTAATTGTAATCGAATGTAATTATTTGAGAATCATGGCGGGCATTTTACCGCCCAAAAGAGTCCAAGTCAGCAATTTCCATTGCCATGTCATTGCACAATGTCCACATCATCAAGACACAGAAAATGGAGCCCATGGATGCCAAATCATCAAGTCATTAACCGGGTGGCAATGAATTTCACGCGATATGACGGCTATGATGTTATTAGTTAAATTTCAATTTATTTTTTTTAATTAAAGAGTACATAAAATAATTTATTTTAATATAAAAATATAAAAGTTAAAAGTTAAAAAAATAATCGAAAGATTGATTTTAATAAGCTGGAAAAATATGTGGATTAAAATATATTTTTTGTGTCGTATATTAATCAACAATGACTACATATCACATATGAATGTATATATAGACCTTCACTAACGTGCACAATTGAATTGGCAACGCCGTTACAAATCCATAGGAGGGGTAGCTTCAGGGCTAGTCTATCTTCATAAAGACTTTTGGTTGAAAAATATTTATTATAGAATGAAAATAAGTAATATCTTATTAGATAAAAATATAGACTCTAAAATTACATATTTTGACTTGGTAAAATTGTTTGTTGTTGATGAGACTTAATAATATTTCAAGTAGAATTGCTTTTTAATTGAAAAAAAAAAAACTCAAATTATCATGCCCTTAATGGGCCTACAATGAATTGAACATAGATGTGATGTTTTATGATGTCATTTGTTAAAATTAAATTAATTTATTTTAATAAAAAATTATATAAATT